AAATTCATTGCCATATTCTAATTATAATTTTAAAATAATTTTTAAAAGAATTATAGAGATTTCTCTAAGCCAAAAGATCAAATAATTGGCAGAAACAAAAACTTCAAACCGTTAAAATGGAAGTTTTCAAAAATGGAAAGGTTTTTAATTTAACGACATTATTGAACTAATCAGAAAGACAAAAATTCTTAAAGTTAACAATTATTAATTAATTGCAATAAAAAAAAAAGCTAAGCTAAATGCTCTAACAAATCTAAATAAAGAATAAAGTAATTTTTACTAAATTTGCTGGATTTTTGTCTTTTTAAAAGAATAATTAACCAAACAGTTTTTCTGTTTTTTTTTTGATTGAATCTTTAAATCTCAAATTATCGATAATAGATAATAATTGATAGATAATAGATAATAATTAATGGTAGATTTGAGCATAAGATACTCGTCAATATCTGCCCATTCATATCTGAAATGCAGCGAAGTAAAAAAGTAAATTTCGGACCATCCATCTTTCAGTTTTTCGGCTAACAGCAGTCACTGGTTTCGCTGGCACCGCTACTATTAGTTTTCATCAGAGAATCATTTGGAAACTGATAGAAGTGGGCCATCTGGATTTCAGCTTTAAAAGATTTATCCCATTCAAGGACTCAATCTTATGATGTTTGAACTCATATCAAAGAAACGTACCATTCTGTAAAAGTAGGCTTTGAGATATTTTCCAATACAATAACATTTAAGTATTTTAAATATTTTTATCTTTTTATCTTTAAGTATTTTGGTTTTTTTTTATTCGTACCACGCACACTTCAATTCAAAGATCATTAAAGATTCATTTTTTATGCATTGTATTAAGCGAGAAAACCTACGAATTTACGGTTAAATAAATAAAAGTTAATGAAAGTTTTGATAAAAGTTTGATAAAAGTTAATACTAATGCAAATTTTTTCATTAATCTCTTACAGCATCCATGAAAAATAAATTTTTTCGAAATGAACAAATCAAAATAGGAAATGTTATTATTTAATATTATTTATTATTATTTGTTTACTATTATTTATTATTATTGTTATCTTTCATTAATTTGTATTATTAATAAGCTATTGATCGAGATCATCAATTAATTTATTCATTTATTGAAAACCAGCCAAGCAGGGCAACGCCATGTGGTTGTATTTTCAAATTCAGTCTAAAATTATAATACTGTGAACAATCTAGTTTAACAAAACCATATAGAATCTTATAAATATCAATTAAATCTTGTTCAATTTGATGAACTGAGAGAGAATCCAGGTTATATTGTAGAAGTTTTCTTTTATAATTCTTTTATAATTAATACGAACTGCTATTAGGAGAGGGGCATCGTATAAAATATTTTTGGAGTCGTTCAATTATTTTATTTGATTTGCGATATATTGGGGAGAAACAACGAGTAACATGTAGTATTGTCGTCAAGAAGAGGCCGAACGAACGTTTGTACATTTTGATAAGAAAACCCTCAGTTTTGTTCTTAAATGAATGAAAAATAAAATTTAGTATTTTAGTATCTTTGAGGATTTCTTTACCATGGTTATGCAGATCGAAGATCGAAATCGAGATTTTTATCCATGATTATTCCAAGATCGGAAATGTGTGAGGTTCTACTGATTATATTACCATTAATAAAAAGATTAGGAAAATCGAATCCTATAGAATTGATATGAAGAACGCTACACTTTTGAAAAGAAAGGTAATTTCCCTGTCATAAATAACAAGCTGGCTATTCTGTTGAGGTCCTTCTGCAGTGGAAATAGGCTATCTACCATGAAAATAATAAATTTTACAAACATCAGTACAAAGATAAATAGTATAATTTAGTACCACATTGGTGATAATCATTTATATATAATAGAAAAAGCAATGGCGCAATACAGTTACTTTGGGGAACACCAGATTTAACAGGTGTTGTGTCAGAGAGAATGTTATTGACGCGTGCGGCTTGGTGACGATCTTTTAGGTAACCTGATACGCGGTTATGCAGGTCCCCTGTAATGCCACAACTATTAAGAGTGATCAGCAACTTGCTATGGAAAGCAGTATCAAAAGTTTTGGCCAAATCTAGGCATAGAATTGATGTAGTATTTTTCCATTGTCAATTGATATTGACCAATCAGAAAGGTTTGCCAATATCTGTGAAGAAGTAGATTTTTAATGGTCTATCTAGATTTGGCCAAAGCTTTTAATACAAATTCGTAGAATAAGTTGTTGTCTGAACTATCATTTATAATTTTGGTATTATTGGAGCTTTATTTAGGTGTTTGATGGTCTGAATGCAAATGGTTCGCATTAATACCACACTTCCTGCTACAATTTGAGGTAGGTCAGGGGTTTCATTGGCGCACTATTCTTCATTAATATATATTACCAATGTTTTATTTAATATATTTATGTGATGATAATTTTAAGGTTTTTATGGAAGGTCAGAAAGTTCACAAATAATGCAATAAAAATAGAATAACAAATAAAATGGTCGAATGACTCCATAGTGAATAAATTAGATAAATGTAAAATTCTTTGGATAAATGTAAAATTCTTTCGAAACTCCTGATTTTCCTAATTATGTGAATAATATTCACCTCAAAGGTGATAATCATTCATCACACCTTGCTGTAACCGTTGACCAGAATTTAGGCTCCTTTCTTTGTAATTTTTGTTAAAGCTTCATCTACAATACAGTAATATTTATTATGCAAAAAGAAAGCGAATGGGCTTATAGCTAATATTATTTAGGTCTTTTAAGCATATTTCGATTTTCTTGTTTCCTTTGTATAAATTTCAAACAGCATTATTATTCAAAATGATATCTAACAAATATTTGCGCGTATTTCAATAGAAATGTCACGATCTTATGAAGTTTAAATCCTAAATTCTTATCACCGTTCACCGAGATGTGATATTTTTGTCGCCGGTGATAATGAAACATTATTATAATCAGCTTGCATCTGTGAAAAGTCAGCCTTTTGAATTGATAGTTAATTTATCCAAGCCAATCTAATTCGCATCTGTTGAAGAAGAATCATTTATTTCTATCGTTTATTCACAATGTCGGTTTTTCTTCTTCCATACTTATAATAAACCCGCAATCCGCAATCATCAGCATACAATTAAATATTGGAATTAGCTGAAGGCTAGTATAGAATTTCCTCAGAAATTAAATTTAGCAGCAAACTGGGAGAAATTGCACATTTTTTGAAACAATCTGAATATGCGCGGTAGTCTTGCAAACGAAGATTTCTTATTAAATATTACTACAAATCTTCGTTTTTTGCCTCAGTTACCTTATTCATCCTCTTCTATTGTTTAATTTTAAGCCCTATGCTATTTTTTATTCTGTACCAATATTCAAGTGCGTGGCTACAATCTGTGCTTGGTCCCTCTTATTTATTTGTTATCCGTTCATATAAAAGCACGTTTCCACGAGCATAATAAATTATGCACTTTTCCTTGGTCTATTTTCTCCCATTTCACTGAAAAAAAATTCAGGAAAATCTTTCTTTTTTTCCTTCACAATGGTCTGATTGTAAATTGTAAATGAAGGAAATAACTAATGTTCATTAATAATTTAAAAACAGAAACGATCCTTGAAATTACTTAAAATTTATTAAAATTTCGGGATCATTACGAAATTACAATGTTAATTTGCTCATATAAAAAAGTACAACAGTTAAAAAATTATAACAGCTTCAGATCGCGAAATTGTACACTATCTTTTTTCATTTTATCGGTATTTTCGGCCAATGAAATATCAAAATTACGCAAAATTTTTTTGCTAAAATTCTAGAGAAATATAAAAAATCATTGCTGATGTCGCGTTAATAATTCGATACTTATTAACCATTTGTTTTCATTTTATAGAATATTGCCAAATCAAATTTATTTTTTAGAATTGATTCTATCAAGGCCTATCATCTCTACACTAATAACTGCCAGCAGTTGTGATATCGCTGCCATTAACTACCAGATTTTTTAACATTTCCCATTTCCATCAATCTTAATTCTATCTCTACTTGCATCCTCTTTTTAATCAATTATTTTTTTCCAGCTAAGCTTTTAAACATTGTTTCTCCAACGAATTTCGCTATCGAGCGCTTAAGTAGAATGTTTCTCTAATATTATTTATCAAAGCTAAAAGGAAAATAATTTCAATCGAAATTTAGAAAAACATCCTTTCAGGATATTAGTAATAGATGTGACAAGTCGCTGACGAAAATTTTCCTGATAATCACTGACACCTGTTATTCCTAAAAAATTTAACATCTAACAATTAGGAATATCTCAATGGCTTAAACTAAATAGTAAAAACTAAATAAACAAACAAGATAAATAGATACAACAAAGGTTAGAAACATTAAAAATTAAAGAAAATGAAATGGAAGAACAAAATAAATTACAGAAATCTGGAAATAATGTTTAGAAATAACAATACTTTAAAAAGCTAAAATAGGTCATACTTGTTTTTACTATAAAATTATGAAAAATCATGAATATAACTAAATCTATGCTTTAGATGACTAAAAATAATCCCGGAAACAACAAAAAACAAATATATCAAAGCTCGTAAGTAAAATATAATGTGAAAATAAAATGAGGAGCACAAAAGAATAAAGTAAATAATTTTTAAGAAATGTACGATATATCTAATATTAAGAAGATATTTGTTTCAAAAAGAAGGATTAGATTAAGTTCAAATAATCCAATTCTATTAATTTATAAATAATTTAATTCACAGATGAACTTATAAATGCTATACAACACTGTTAGAAATGATATAAAATTAAACGAATGAATCAAATGATTCAAATTATTAGATTATGACCGAATGAGTTAAATTAATTAATATACATCAAATAATGAATCATTTAAAAAGTTAAATTTTCTTATAAATTAAGATCAAAATGAGCAATGGTCGATCGATTACTAAAATTTTTTCAAATAATTTCATTGAGCTCATTAAAGAAGATATCAAGGAATTAATTCATAGGATGGACCTTACTGGAGTCCAAGTGCTGTTTCCGCTCTTCTTGAAATTCGTGAATTTCCTTCCAAATCAGTTCTTTCCACTGTTCAATAGTTAAGTCACCTAAAATAAAACAAAATAAAACAAATAAAAAAAAACCAAATATTATTTTATTAAACAATAGTTTCATTGTATAAAAACCTTCAACATCAACATCCAGTGGAGGAGATACTGGTTCGTCGGTAGGATCGTGATACTGGTTTAAATAAGGATGCTCCATGGCTTCGCTTGCAGTTGGCCTATGATTAAATTAAATTAATCGAGAAAATTTAAGGAATAAAAGGGCTATAAAAGAAAGGTATACCGGTAATCCGGATCCAGATTTAATGTTTTTTCCAGCAAATCGATTGCTGCACTAGAAGCATTTGGAAAAAGTTTTTTGAAATCCTTTCTTGGTGTTTTTGGAAGGTTTTTAATATAGTTACGTGCTTCGTCGGACTGAATTTTTGATAAAAATTCTTCATTTGGGGTCCCAACGACATTCATAATACGTGTCAACTGATCGATGTCTTAAAAACAAAAACAAAAATATAGCATGGTATTTTCTGAACAATTAAAGATAAATAAAAAAAACTAACGGTCAGTGCCAGGGAAAAGTGTTCGACCAGTGATAAGTTCAGCCATTATGCAGCCCACCGACCAAATATCGACTAAAAGTTTTTTTCATGATATAAATCATAAAAAATCTCTAATAATCGAAGTATGAGTAAATATTATTAAGTCAAACAACGAGAAATCCTTATTTTATGATCATTAATAAAAAACAATGTGAAAACATCAAATTAATGGCTTACCTGTTTGAGTATAATGCATCCAATTCAACATTATTTCTGGTGCCCTATACCATCTAGTTGCTACATACCCTGTCATTTCACTATCAGTTTGCCGAGCTAAACCGAAATCGAGAATCTAAGAAAAGCAATGATTAAAAATGAAAAGAAATGATAATAATTCATAAAAGCAAAAATTATAAAATCTTTATTTTTGGAAGAAAAGAAATAATGCATTTTGATTAATTCGGAACTACACTAAAAGAAATACTTTGAGTTCACAATCTTCATTAACTGCGATATTTGACGGCTTCAAATCACGATGTATGAGCCCTGCTGAATGAATATACTGAAATAAAAACTATAAGCAATAATACAATAATGTGGAAGCAGAAGAAAAAACCTCATTAAGTGATTTTAGAATTAAAAAAACAATATCATTTGATTCAGTAAATTAAAATATACCTTTAAACCTCGAAGTATCTGATATACAAGAAATTGAATATGATCATCACTCAATCGTTGTATCTTCAAAATATTCGACAAATCAGCCCCCATTAAAATCGACACAAAATAGCTGCAATTAAAGTTCATTAATAGTTGCAAATGAAAAAAGTTAAAAAAAGAATTCTAAACTGTTTTAAGTAATAAATGAAAAAAATAAGAAAAAAAAAGTCTAAATAAAAAGAATAAAGTAAAATAGTATGTTCATGACTTAGATGGTAATTTTTGCGAAGACGAAAGATTCATCTATCAAATAGATATTCCCGTAAAAACCTACACATCTTGCAAAGAAGTAATATTAAGATCAGGCGTAAATACGTCAGTCATATCAATAACATTTTCATGATTCATTGCACGAAGTAATTTCAATTCACGATGAGTCCGTTTAGCATGTATTGCGCTTTGGAAAGGCCGTGAAAATTTTTTGATGGCCACTTTTTCGCCAGTTATTCGACATTCAGCAGCGCTAAAAACATTTCTATGCACAAAACAATCTTAAAACAAATGGTCAAAAAATTGCAAAGTTTTACATAAATTCGCAAAAATTACATTAATCAAATAACATAATAAATGAAAACAATTTAATGAATTTAATGAAAATAATTTCAATGAAAAATCTCAATTTGAAGAATTTGAAAATCTAACATACCATACAGTTCCATAAGCTCCGGTGCCAACCGGTGTTAGATTTTGATAGTATTCAGGCACAATCCATATTGTCTTATTGAGCTCAACGGTATAATATCCAGGTTTCAGTGGACTGCAGCTTTCCATTTGCTACTAGAAGAAAATTTTCATTAATGCTAAACTGACGAAACTCGCAGGAAAAAACGACCGTTTATCGAAAAAAACAAAAAAAAATTGACAAATCATTTTAAGAATTAGCGAAGTATTTAAAACTATGATTAAGGATTATTAAAATTAGAAACAACGAATAAAAAGAAAAGAACAAATAAAAATTTAAAGAAAATTTGAAAAATGCTTCATAATAAGTAGGAATTGTAAATCGCAATCGTAAATAGAATTATGGTAACGAGAATTTAAAATTTATAAAAGAAGAAAATGAAAACAAAAAATATTCATGTTTTGTTGCCGACTCACCAGGAAAACATCAGATGAAACATAGCTAAGATTTTTAATTCGGCCGAAGAATGATAATGAAACGTGATGAATCGACGACGCTAAAAAAATTTGTAGGAAACGCCTGTAAATAAAAACCATATAGCAAAATTATTTAATTTTTATTAAATAAAATTCTTTTTAATAAAGAATTCGGTATTTTGGGTTGTCAATCGATATTTTGCATCTTTCACACGAACAACTGAGATGAGGTAGCTCTTTTTTTTCTGATTCGCCTCTTTTCATCCACTTTTTCCTTGTCATATTTTTATATGCAAAAAAAAGAAAGATTTAATTAAAAACGTCAATAAAACTAATCACTAAACGAATAAATCAATAAAACTAAAAAGAAAAATCATTAAAAAAAATTATGGAAATGCTAACTGCCCAATAAAAACTGTAATAAATATAGTTACCCCACAAAAATAATTTCGCAAAAGATGAATTTTTTGAATCACTAAAATATTCATTTTTTAAAAAATGAAACAAGCGCAAATGTAAAAAATGAGAAAAAATTCAAAACTTAGAGAAATCTTTGAAAAAAAATAGATAAAACAAAAACATTCATTAAAATGAAGCATTAATGAATGAATCTCTTCTTCTTCTAACAACATCATTACTGGCTAACCATCACTACTTCATATATTCTCCACTCTCACTGACCATATTTTGCAGCCAAATAGCAAAAACGAGCGGCTATACAGATGGACTTTCGTTTTTATGATGATTTCGAGACGATTCCATAAAGTCTCGGAAGAACGCATCCCTAGCTGCCGTTATTCGGATTGTAATTTCGTCTTTTGCCTGACCATTTGATAATAGATATGATCCAAGGTATTTAAAATCTGGCACTTCCTCGGTCGGCAACGAATTTATTAAAAACAGGCATCATTTTATCAGCTTGTATTGTACATAAGACGAAAAGACTTTCATTTATTTCTCTGAAACATCGTCGCGTTCCATCACCCTCCAAAGCATCGTTTTATCAATTGAATCAAAAGCAATCGCAAAGTCGACACACGTAACCGTGGGTTAGATACTTGCGATGCTCTAATACCACACTTAAATACCTGGTTAGCACAACCGCACCTCGCACTGAATCCAGCTTGATTAGAGCGCATCCTGCTATCACGTACTGCCATAAATCTATTGAGTAAAAAGGAAGCAAAAATTTTCGCTAAGATGTCTAGTAAATTCCTCGATAATAGTCATAGTATATTCTGCCATCTTTCTTGGGAATTGTGAGCAGAATTGCTTTGCTCCAATCATCTGAATTGCTTTGCTCCAATCATCTAATAATATTTCTTTTTCCTATACCATTTGTTGAAGGTGCGTTATAAAGGACCACAGACAACATTTGAAAAGTTCAGCTCGAAGATGATCTTCTCCCAAAGTCTTATTGGCCTTAAGCTTATGGATAACGGAGATTATTTCTTCTTCTGTTGGAGGCTCGCAATTGCAAGTGCATGGTTCTACGAGCGTATCTATGTCAACAGGTCAACAGATAACATGGTTACGTTTGGCCTCAAGGAATTCCTTCTTTCCATTCTTTCCATCTTATGGGGCTATCTTTAATAATACTCCAAACAGCCACACTATTGTTATCCCTTACCAGTTCACTTATCGTTCCCCAAGTAATAATTGTTTTATGAAGAAGGGGGAATTTTCCTGTAAAATCTAATCGAGCCGCCGTCTCCATTCTTAAGGCCATGTCACTCAAATAATGTCCCGCCGTGTTGTGTCCTTACAAATAATGTCCTTACAATCCACCCAGTAATAAAAATCTCCTGAAGAATTCGTACTTTCTCAACATTTTCATTGGACTTCCGATACCCAACTAGCACATTTCCTATTAGTATGTCTTAGCGTGGAAACAGCTGACTTTCGGAGATATACCTTTACTTTGAACTAGTAGTCATTTGCCGTTCCAGGTCGTTGATACTTGTACCACTGAGGTGCTTCAATAATTCGAACTGAAATGCACTCTGTCGTCGAATTTTAGTTTGAAATAGTTAAAAGATCTTGGAAGACATTGTTCTTGCGAGTTATCAATTTTATGCGAATCTCGGCTTGAACCATAATAGTGCAAAATCCCATTAGGCTCTTTGAAATACACCTTAACTGATAGGATCAAGACGGCGGTTTTTCAAGCACTCAAGCGACATTCCCTCTGATTTGTTAAAGTTTTCCTTTTCAAATTAAAAAAAGGAGAAATTCTTTAGGACGATCATATAACATATTTATTTATTAATTAATTAAACAGAAAATAAATAAATATCGTCGCTTATTTGTTTAACAGAAACCATCTCATTAATCTTATATTAATGTAACTTTTATCCAACTTTTATCCACTATAAACCGTTGCATTTGAAATAACAGCGATAAGCGAAGAAAATATGTGAAAAATTAATAAAGCAGCAACGACGGCGATAATAAATAACAAATAAATCAACGGTCAGTCGCTAATTAATACAAAATTTCGCGACGTAATAAATAATGGAAAACTCGCTAACGGCGAACTATAAAAAAAATTATAAAACAACATAGTGGACAACTTGGCAACAAAGCAAATAAATAACGAAAAAAACCGATAATCTAATAAGAAATTAATTTAATTAAAGTGGCAGATTAATTTAAATTAAAATATATGAGTAAGAGTAACTAAGCGATCATGTAAGCCATAGGAGTGAAACTATGCGCGAAAAAAGCTTTTTAAAAAAACGAGGGGAAAAGAGCGAAGCCACTAAAACATTCTAACGAAAAAAATACTACCTTCTACTGAGCAAACACAAAAACGTGTTTTCTCAAGCAATTCACTTACAATCTGAGCGATAGAATTCGGTAAAGCGCAGTCTCAAAAAACACTGTAACACTTTTGAATTGCAGCCGCGTCCATCCACCCTCGGCCTTTAATACGACTCTATTAACTCCAACATACTAATTGATGTTTTTCATAACTGAATGTTTTTTGTCGAATTAAGGATAAGGCTTCGTTCCAGCATTATGTAACAATTTAATTGAAATGAAATAACAATCATTTAATCATTCAACTAATTGCTTTAAAGCTGAGTTAATAAATATTGTGAAGGTTTTGCATCGACCGAGTGGATAAACCTCATCTCAGCTCGAATAGTTTGGTACCACCGTCACAATGTCGCCTTTTCATTGTCTCTGGTCAACTATTGAGGGAGCTGGTGCATACCTTGTTATGTAAAGCCTTATAAAAAAATCATATAATACCCAATGATGGTCCATATTCATATAATGAGGAAAATGGCTCAAGTGAACCAAAAATGTATAAGCTTAGACAGTGGATAAAGAAGCGATTTCTCTTAATTTAGACAACTCTAATCTTATATTAATGTAACTAATAATAATATGTCGTCACAAAAAAGAATTTGGTTTCGTCGTTATAAGCAAGAAGCAGTGAAGCAGAAATTTATAATCTTATGAAATGAAAGAAATTAAGAAAATTTATGCTAAAATAAAAACTATTGTCGTATTTTGCATTTTTAGATTTATGTTACATAAATGTTATATAATATTATAAATATCAGTAAAATTTAAAATATCACCACCGCTATTCAAAAAAATCTGCAAAAAACAATGAAAATTCTTGAAGCAATTCGGCATCATATCGTATACCCGATTATAATAGTAATAATAAATAATACTTTTCTTCAAATTAACAAATCCAAATGATAACCAAATCTTTCGGATTTCTTATAACTTTAATATAGCAATTTAAGAATATTCAGCAAAATTATAAATAGAAAAAACTGGAAAATTATTGACTGACACCGCCCCCTTCGGTGTAATTGGTGATTGGACGGGAAAAAGAAATTCATTCTGATCAAACTGACTGCAATAAAGCTGTGGCTCAGATACAGAGCGCTTAAGCCGTGGAAGATCAGCGGATGTTCGTTCCAAATATGTTAGTACCTTAAATACTGTAAATATAAAAATTAGTATTAAACATAATAAAGAAGAAAACATGTGGTTAGCACTCTGCTAAAACTAGATCCTAAGGCTGTTAGAAATTCTTGCCAAGAAATCGGCAAGAATATTCCATGACGCAAAGCACTCATCCACAGTCAGCACCCATCCACAGTCAGCAGTCAATACTTGAAATTTAAAAAATATATAAAGGTATTTATTTACAAATTTATAAAAGGTAAAGTAAATAATTACTTGATTAAATTCAAGTCGATCATCACGAGAATATTTGATGCAACGCTCAAGTATAGTCTGAAGTCCTTTAGGCGTGTCATGGCGTAGTTTCGATAAATCAGGTTTTAAATAACCTCTGCCGACCATAAATAATATCTGAATCAACTATTCCCATTTATTGTCTCGAATCTCTCAAATTTATGATAAATTTTTGAATTTAGGAAGATTTACCTGATCTCTACTATTGATGTGCGAATAAGGCAATGTTCCTGTTAGCAATTCGTATAAACAAATTCCAAAAGAATAAACATCAGATAGTGGTGTATATGGATTAGGATCTTGCATCCGAATCACCTCAGGAGCCTAGAATATTAAAATATAAAAAAAAGAGCTTGCATATAATCTGATACAACTGATGAAATTCATAATAAGCAATTTTACCATCCATAATATACTTCCAGTTGGTCGCTGATTCTGTTGACTACCACTCCACCTTGTTTTCACGGTTGCAAGTCCAAAATCACCGATTTTAACTGTGCTGTCTTCCGTCAAAAAAATGTTATTCGACTTCAAATCCCTACATAATGTAATGATTTTTTGAAAAAAAAAACTAGAGCGCAATGATATTTGACATTTATAACATTTTTACGAATCAAACAAATCAAACAAATAAACAAATAATAGTTAAAAAAATAACAAATAACAAATAGTTAAAAAACCTGTGGATGATATGACGCGAATGGAGATAATTCATTCCTTGAGAAATCTGCTTGCAAATATCAATAATTGAAGATATCTCAAAATCAATTCTTGGTTCAATTACATGGATATGACGATATAATGATGAACCTTCACACCACTACAATAAATTATATATTGCTGACTTTGTTTTGTTTAAGTGAATTTCTCCTTAACCTTTCGAAAAACCCTTTCGAAAAAACTAAAAATTTTCATTATATTAACATTTTCTGAATAGAATTTAAATACCTGAGTAACAATGGCAAGATCAGGTTCTCTCATCCAGCCCATAAAAAGAAGAACATTAGCATGACGAGTTTTTTTCAATACAGCAACTTCATTTTTGAAAGCCTGGAGTTGTACTGGACTTGGTTCGCCAACATTTAATTTTTTAATAGCCACTTTTCCTGCAAAAAGATGAAATACTAGAAATTCATTTTCACTTCACTTTCAGTTTTTCACTAATAAAATTTACGTAAATTTAAGATTAATTAAAAGTAATTCATTCATTTATAAATTCATTTAAAAAAAAAACTGACAGGTCAAATTTGCTCTAAATACTTTCGCAACAAAAAAGAACCAAAACAAAGATAAAATGTACCGAAATAGCTTCCCAAATATACAGTGCCAAAGGATCCACTTCCAATTTTTTTGTGATATGTTACAAGAGAACGATCAATTTCCCAGTCTTCAACTGAAGATCTCTGTTTTGTTTTTTCTTTGTTATCACCCTGTAAGAACTTGGATATTAACGTTTCTATAATCTGAATAAATATAATATAATATAATACTTACTCGCTAGAAAGTTTGAAAAAAAAATGGAATTTTGAACGGAAAATATTTACTTCAGTTGTATCCCCAAGGCGATCAGATGATTTCGATGATCGATGTCCTACACTTCGAAGAGGAATTTTATCATTAGGACCTAGAAAAAAGGCTTGATTTATGATATCCTCATCACTAAATTTGTATTCGTATCACATAACTTTGACTACACAATAAAATCGCACGATTCTCCTTGACCATCTATAAAAACTATTGAAAGTTAATAAAATAGATATACTTTTGCTTCTAAAACGGGAGAATCCAAGAGATTTTTGTGGAGGAGCTGACTGCGGAGGAGTTGGAGGGAAGCCAGATGCAACGTCAATTAATGTTGTAGAAAGAGCGGGAAGAGGTGATGAACTAGTTGACGTCGGTGAACTAATTACAGTAGATGGTGACGATATTCCAACTGCACCAGATGGATGAAGACGATTCGAATGTCGAAATATCGGAGTATTGCAATCACGAGATCCGAAAACCATTGGTTTGATAAGTTTAGCAGTGGTAATTGACTGATTCGTATTTGCTAGAAAATATTTTAAATATATTATAAATTACTTGTTAATTATGGAAATATACCTGAAATAAATATCTCACATATGAGCAAATAAAAGAAAATTTGAAAAATTACAGTAATAAGGAGCGCCTGAAGAAGAAACACTGATATGAACATTGCTTGCCAATGCGTCGATTACTTTCTGAAATAAGAAAATCGAAGAAATACAAAAAAAATGAAAAAAAAGGAAAAAATTATAATAAATGAAGCCATTTGGACTTTAAAAAATTAAAAAATACCTTTTGCCATTTTTTTTTCTCAGATAAATAATTTGAAAAAATATACCGCCTCAAGAGCAGGCTCGTCCTTAGTTATTTCATAAATATTTGGAGCAGAAGAGGATCGATCTCGAGAAGATACACTAATAGCTGAACTGGTCGCATCGCTGCGAGTAGGAATCCGCACTGCTTGTTGCCGAGTAATACCTTGTTGCCGGTTGCTGGCTGAATCTTTAATAATCTAACCATTATTTTAGCAAAAGGCATTATAATGATAATAATGTGTCTTTAAAAATAATTTCGATTCTAACAATTAATATCTAAAAATTTTTCTATTTTCCGAGATTTAACAATTGTGCAAAATACAACCAATCAATACCAACTTTTTTTGCAATATCACTAACATTTAGAGCCATTATTCTTTCTTCTTATAATCATATCATATTTCAATATTTCAATAGTGCCTTATAAAGCTCTAACTGAAAAACATTACCTCAAAAGCTCAAAAAAACATTACCAATGTTCGGACTCTGAAAATGCTGGATGATTTCTGTAACTAGGGCTGCATTTGGCCCACCATACTGTTCGCAAAAATTTCTCAATTTATTGGCCATATGTACATCGTGCGAAATTTGCTGCATACGATCACAATAATTCGGCACTTGTGAAGCACATTTTTGATGAAATTTGAACTGGCATAAATCACATCGATACCCCTATGGAATTATTTCATATGAAATAGGCAATTAAAAGAGTGGGAAAAATTTAAAAATTTAAGAGTGGTAATAATTTATGTATTAAAAAATTCATATGTATATGTATAAAAAATATATCTATATTCATATGTATTGAGAAAAGTACTTGCAACCATATTTGCTTCCGACATACGTCACAAAACGCAACAGAGAGAAAAGTTTTACGAACAAAGCTATGCTGAATAGATACGAGTATGGATAAATAAGCACTATGAACCCAAAGTTCTTTTTTTTCCAAAACCTAAAAATGAAACGAAAATAAAATATAATACGAAATAACTTGATTTTTTCTATTTACTTATTTTATAAAGTCAAAATTTCATTTAAATCAATTAATCCAGTTAAAAAACAGGGAGATAAATTTAATTATCAGAAACAGCAAAAATAAAATGAAAATCTTCATTAAAAAATGAAACATACATTAGCAAGGGTTTCAAGATCCATACTGAGACTTATCTGAGTGCTAGATGGGTCAGGTCCGGTACAAACACTGCACATTTGTGGCAGAATATTTCTCTTGTCAAGAATTTTCCCAATCGCATCGCGCACAAGAACGCCTGGTTTAACTTCAAGCTAAATAATAATAAAAATAGTTACAATAAAGAGAAATTCTATAACTTTGAAAAAAATTGATTAAAAAGGAAAGTGCATGATTACTTTTGAGTGTTGATTGAAAGGAAGATGAAGAAGTATAAGCGAATTACTAGTACGTTTTGGTGAAGTACATGGAGACGAACTTCCAGCGCTACGATTTGAATAAATATCCTAAATAATTTCTAAATATATTTTATATTTTAAATGAATATATTTTGGAAAATTAAATAAAAAAATTTATTTTACAATTCTTATTCATTTAACAAGAATCAATAAATTAGTTAATGACTAAAATAACTTTTAACAAATGAATAATTAAATAAATGTGCCATTTTTCAAATAAAGGACACGAACAGTAGGTGATGAAGGACTAATGAAAGATGATACTGGCTGAGCTTGAAAAGATGAACAACTTTCAACAACTTCACCAGCGAACAACGACATTCTTCACGTTAACTTCATTAACATATCTGGGAAAAAGTTAATAGAAAAGTTAATGAAAATAGAAAAAATTAATCGATTTTTGACAAAAAATTTAGATTAAAAGACAGAATTGCCGAGAAATGAATGGAAAAGAAGACCAAAAGTTTGTCAGCGTCAGTACCATCACTGCTCAGTGAATTATTAAGTTAGGGCTCAAAAGGAAGATATTTAAGTATTGCAAGGAAGAAAAATCGGTTACACTGAGGATTTGCGAGAACACGGCGTTGACACTGAACAACAGTGATTCGAACAAAGTAAATAGACGAATGCGATTCGATTTTAAGAAGAAATAAATTTGAATTTGAAAATTTGAAAAATTATATTAGATTTTAATTCGAGAAAGAAATTCAAAAAACACTTTTCTTCTAATTTTGTTATAAAAATAGCGTTGTTTAATTGTGAATGTTCGCACTAATTTCCATCTTTTCTTAATTTTTGAAATTAAAATCAAAAGACTTCCAAATTAATTAAAAATATTGACTGAAATTTTGAAAAAAATTACGAAAATTGTTTAAAACTTCATTGCATATGAACCAACAACGATAAAACCAACACCAATATTATTTCTTCTCTTCAAACATGTCAATAGTTATTTTTCGACGAGATCTCGCAAATACTGATAACTGAAAATCGTTGTAAGGCCGCTCGAGATTGAATTATTTCGAATTTAGTAGCGCACTTTTTTGATTCACGAAAAGCATTCTACCATCACTACTGCTTGATCTCCATGAATCTTATACATATATATATATATTCTATGAGCTGATAATATGTTTCTTACCCTATCGATTGGTACTAATAACCAAATTTTGCGTAATTTTTTGGACATTCAATATAAATGGATGAAGTGGAGCGGTTATTGAGATAAAAAAACTTAGAAAAATACTTAGAAAAATAGTAGGACAGTAATTGTGCAATATCTTTGATCTTCAGTTTGTAAATTTATCTATTTATCATTCTAATTTTTTAATTTAATTCTTTAATCCAGTAATTATTTTATTCTAAGTATTATTATTTGCATGCCAACCTAGTAAACCTCCTTTTTTCCTGATATTTAGTACCACTCGGCAACCTGGAAGCAACAAATTTTTAGAAAAGTGTTTAGCAGTTCGCTCTGCTTTGGAACGGAAATAGAAGGCGATTCTCAGCAGCACTCGAATTTTACTTTTAATTATAGGTTTAGTTTTGAGTAAAGGGCACTGTGTCGAACCTAACAACTGTTTGATCTTTGCTCACTATAGTAATAGTCGACTGTAGAATTTTTGTTACAGTTACATTACTTTATAATGATAGAATTAAATAAGATAAATTTCTAAACCATGGCAGTAGATTGAAAAATTTCTACTCATCCCCTATGGGTGGTAATAATCTCAATTAGGCCAGCCTCCGGTCCTCTGCCAGAGGCTTGGGAGATTGAGGACTCTATAGTATCTTAACTATCCCTAGTAATGCGCTGAATAAAGATCTCTGATATTGGAAGCCACTTTTCTAGTTTAGGGGCCATAGTTCCAAGTGCTTCAGCTATTACTAGAATTAATTTGGCTTTTATTTCACTTCTCTAGTTCCTCTCGAAAGATATTTCTTTAAATTCTCATACTCCTTCTTTCTGACATTCTGTCGTTTGGTATAGCTATATTTCACCAATGCTGATTTCTGGTTCTTATCTATCACCGCAATATCTGGTTGATTAGCTAGTACTTGTTTGTCAAGCTGGGTGGCGAATTCTCACAGGATCATTGCCTTATTATTCTCTAAGAAAAAATTTTCCACCTAGTCTTGAGAGGGTTTCAGCCATATACTGAGCTGAGATATTCCTGATAACAGTAGATGATACCAGCCAATTGTTTAAGCCTTTCAATGCTTGCATTTTATATCTTGTTATGTACTGTATGTTTCTGAGGCGTTTTTGCACCTATTTTATGTGGCACATCACATCCATTGAAAACATTGGCTTGGATCTGCTGCTTAGGACCTACTTTTGTGCCTCAGTATTTCCTTTTAGTCTGGGTTTCTCCAGCCACTGGTAGGATTTCACAATGACAGCTACTTCAACTATCTCTCGATGACACAGGGCCTTACTTTGCCATAATATTTCGCTTGATCGTTTTCCAGTATATGTGTATGATATGCTTCAGGCATTCTCTCAGCAGTTCATCTTTTGGTGCCATCTTGCTGGTACTGGTATTTCTAAATGCTTCGTTTTCGTATTTCGTCAAGACATTTATTTTTACATTCATTAACCCCTATCTACCTTCTTTCCTGTTAGTGTATTTTTTTTTTGAGTTTTTGAGTGCTGGAATTAGGGTGGAAATTTCCGTACAATCCATACATTTTGTGGAGTTTCCCAGTTTTCATATCAGCAGGCTCCATATCTTCTTTGTCCATCTTACCACGCCAGCTGCGTACCTGATGACTAGCGTATAAAATATAATAATTATATATAAATATTTCAATATTTAATATAAATATAAATATATATATATATATAAATTAATATAAAATATATACAAAAATATAAATTGTATATATATATGAACGAAGTTTCGATTTCATTTGGATAACAAGGGAAGATAAATATCAAATTCATTAATTAATGCAATTATTCTTATTTTTTTCGTGTATAAAAAACAAATGAAAATAAATAAGAAAAAATTCGTTCTCTTTTAACCCGTGTTAATTGTAATATAGGGAAATTTAAACTTCTGACTTGCCTTAAATAGCAAAATATGAATCACTTTATGCTTAAACTTACTTATATGTATACTTACTTATAACGGGTCATTCGAAATGATCCCACTGTTTGTACATTGTATTTGACTTTGGAGGTTCATATTTTTTTCTTGTTATGCCACATTTTACTTTGTATCGTTCTCTGTTCGTTGTGACTTCCTGTTCTTTTCACTGAAGGATAAAATTTACCTTTTTGAAAGCCCTGATCTTCTAAATTCGGTATGAAATTTGATATTTTATTTTATGAGTTTAAATTGGGGCGAAAGAGGCAGTTCGCATATATGAACAGAATCTGCATCTGAATAAAGAACAGTGTGCGAGATTGGTTCATGATGATTAAATCTGGAAATATATAACCTCGAAAATGCCCCACATTGTGGGACATCCATCATGAAGTCACCTTCGGTGGAGGATTTGATGGGAACTGATTCTAAAATGATCTAATATATAGGCATTTCACGTACTGAAATTATCTGCACGCAAGGGGAATAAGGAAAAGAAAATTTGTACTTCACGAACTGATTGCGTATCAACTGCAGAAACCTTAGATGTGTTATGGTCACCTATGGTCATTCCAAATATAGATCTAATAACCTAATGCGTCGGTAGCAGAGTACTGGAGAGATTGATTTGTGACTTGTGAAGTTGCTCTTGATGTCAACAATTTTATATTCTCCTACCAGCATGGCTTTTGTTCGAAAAAATCCACCTTCCTTACAAATATTGGCTGAAAATTTGATAGTGTATCCCACATATATCGTTTTGCTGATTTAGAATGTCTGTTTTGTAATCAGTTGGGTTGTTCAGTTATTTTTTTTGGTTTTTAGTTTTTTAGTGGCTTTTTTTGATTCTGTTTTTTTTGTTTCTTAGTTGTTTTTTTTATGTTTTTGTTGTTGAATGATTATAGTTGGTTTGGTTATTTTTTTTATTGTGATTCTTATTTTTATGTTTTAATGGTTTTTTTAAGTTTCTTTCTTTTTTTTCTTTTCGTTTATCACCAGTTGATAATAGAAAATTAATATCACTATGCAGTTATTTACATAGATCTAGCCAAAGCATTTGATAGTGTATTCCACAGTAAGTTGTTGATTACCATTATTCATTATGGCATTAAAGGCAATATTTATATAACTGAACTGAATACCAGATTAAAAGATCGATCAAGCTACACGTATCAATAACTTTCTTTTAGATTTGGCTTCAGTCACACGGCGTCCCTTAAGATAATTGGACTGCACCATTACTTTTTTTATTATATATTAATGGTCAGCAAAGTTGTAATAAATTGTACCATTTATCTTTATACTGTAACTATAAAATTTATAGCACAACTTCTCGCTGTTTCAAGCTGACTCCGCTTCAATAGATTTTCGAACTGGCTATGTGACAGGTAAATTCCCCTCCCCATTCAAAAATATATTGCCAATAAATTCGAAAGCATCTGATCTCCCTAATCTCATTATTAATGGTAATATAATTAAACCTCAAAAGTCCTCAATAATGTTAAATTTTATTTTTCGGTCGTTTAAAAATAAAAATCAAAGCTTTCTTATGAAAATTTAAATTTAACGTTCGTTCGATCTATTATTGAATACAATGCAATATTATTCCCCTAGATACCGCAGATTAATTGGAGGGCTCCAGAAGTACTTTTATGCAGCTTAGACTGCTCTCATTTCGTCCAATTAAGCAAGATCCAATTTGCTCATATAAAATTTGCACATATATCGTTATGTCAAATTAAATTGTTTAGATGTTGCAATTTTAGGTTAAATTTTAACCTAAAAAGATCAAATGGGCTAAAATCATTAAAACCTAAATCTAACTTAAGTACTCATGACTTTTTCATTTGCGCCATTAATTATTGGAATATGCTCGAAGTGACATTATTTGTTCATAGCTGTTGAACAATACCGATAGCACTGTGAAACTAGTTTGAAATCTTTATCATTTCATCATACAAATAAGAATTTATCAGTAATACGTTCAATTCGACTTGAGTTATTTCGTAATTCCCTTTTTTTGGTCGTTTGTACATATATCATATATCCTTTTTTCACTGACTTCATTATATTTTAATTACTGCAAGCACATAACGCTTGTCGCCCTACTTGGTTGTTTCAACTAAAATACGACACAAAAGCAGCAATCGACGTTCATGAACTGAACAAGTTCTTTCATTCTACGACACTAAACCCCATGCCGCGGTAATCACTTTATAAAATTTTTCCGGTTGAAATATTATTCTACATCATCCATATTTCCCAAAACTATTGTTAATATTATTTTATTTCCTTCTTCTCTCGAAAAATTTCCTCAGATAGAAACGTTTTAGACAATCGGGGTAATTTGGAAACCAGCGGTTGATTGGAATTTCCTTTTATTGCATTGGTTCCAGACTTTCGGACTTTCATATAAATGCAGCAAACATTAATCCATTATGCTTCAAAGCAAATGATAAGATAGCGAGAAGAAAATATTTCTGATGGTGCATTTTAAAACTGTATATTTAAACATATCGTTAAATGAAAGCATTTCATCCTTCAGTCGTTTTTGGCATTATTAAAAAAACGGTGAAAAGAATTAAAAAATGAATTAAAACGAATCGACCCTGAAGAATTTCTTGGATTCATCAGTTCATCTAACTGCAATTATTATTTATGGTTTGGTTCATTGACGACAGATCTGTTCAACCGAAAGTGGTTTAGAGATAGTAGCAAAAGTTCGCAAAAGTTATGCGGATTTCAATTTTACTGATAAGTTTAACGAAGATTTAATGAAAGGCATTAAAAGGGAGAGGATTTAAATCTTTGATGTCTTAACCTATTTGCCTTTATTGAAGTAACATCTCATTCAACCGTCCAACTTCCCACATTTTGTTGTATTTGTAATAATAATCAAAAAAATCGGAGAAAAATTTTAATTTTCCATGTTCAATCTAGTGAACCTTAAAAAGCTATTGGCACACCAAGAAAATATCAAATTCTTTTTGCCAATTCTTGAATAAATTGCTAACAAGCAAAACAAAGCTTTCATAATTTGTGTAAAACCAAGTAGAGCTAGCTTTCATCAAAACCCAACCAACTGTTTTAAATCCTTTGTTTTAATTAATCCGGTTGCGTATTTTGCCGTTGCCGTTGGCTATAAGCAATGAATTCTAAACTGAATGTTTTTTTCCAGTTGATTTGACAGAACTGCATGTGACATTCAGTTGCCTTTCAGTTGTTGCAATAATTAATCTAATTGCAACTAATTACCAATAAAATATTTCGAATATAATTCAGTTTTTTTTCATAGAATAATATAATATTACACAATAAATCACTGCTTGTAATGTTATTTAGCCATAGAATTCAGTAATTTTGTTTGCAGACCACTTATAAAATTTTCGATGAGAATTTTATCAATTCTGAGAAATCAAAGAAATAGCTTGATGAGATTTCCGCTTGTTTTGAATTCATAAAATTCGCAAATAATCTAATTTTCGATAAAAATGATTTCTAAAAAGATATCTATCGAATTAAAAAATGCCTTATAGGCTTTTAAATAGTTCTTTTATTTCAAATCCTTCATCATAATATTGATGCCAACTGTAATATAACGATGGGTGATGCTGGCAATTTACCTGTATTTCTATCGCCAAGGAGCTCCCTGGCATGTTGCCCAATTGCGACAAGCCAGTGGAGTGAGTTTAAGTGACCGGTAATGGTGAGGACTCTTTAAAATAACAAGAGAAATGATCAAATTTAACGATTAATCAGATTTCCAAATAAGCTATTGTCATTTAATAAGTTATCCAAATAGTAATTTGTATTCGCAACAAATTAAGATAAGATAATTTGGAAAGTAAAGGCATGCAGATCATCTATTTGAGTTCATCTTACAAAAAAATTATTTAATATAAGATATGCATGATAATTCTTTTCCTCAAGAGCCCTCGCCATTACCGGTTAGACTCGCTCCGCTGGCTTGTTGCGTTCGATAAATATGCCAGGAAGTTCCTTGAGATAGAAATGGAGATGAGTAGCCAGCATCACCTGGGTTTTCGGATAGGTGTACTCCCAGTGGAGTAGCACTGGCGCTCTGAAATGAGCAGCAACCCACTGAGCAATTCTACTCCCACTTAACAATAGCAAATGAAAATATTTTCTGGATCGAAAGATACATTCGCAAAAAACATTTATTAAAATATCATTTAAAAAACAATGTTATCTTATCTTGATTATCATCTTTCATTCATTTCTTTGTTCACTCTCACTTATCTCGAAACATGTTTTTTTATTTAAAAAATACTAGAGAAAATTTAAAAAACAAAACCAAACAAAACAAAACGTTCGTATCTGTTCTTTTCGCTGGAAAGTCAGCTGAGGGTAAAAGTATAGACTGAGTGCTCACCACCAGTAGATTTTACTTTTAATGACAAAATCACTCCAGTTACTAGCTAAAAAACTATTGACGCTCAACCTCAGTCGAAGTCACACCTTAATTAATCATTCATGTGACACAAAATTGATAAATAGAAATATAGAATGAATTTTTCTGTTGGCAAAATAAATAATTGATTTATAAAGCAAGGTGCAACAAAAATGAAAAAAGAAAAATAGAAAATTTGAAAAATTTTGCATCTATTTGTGATTAACAGATTAAGATTAATAGCTTTTTAAAAAGCATCTTTGTTAAGATTAAATCGAAAAGAATTCTTTTTTTTTCGGAAATTCTGAAAAATAGAAAGTGCTTTACGACGACATAGATTTAATAACGCTCATTTTATTATTTCGCAATTAATTTCAATCATCATCATTGCTGATAATAAATAAATAATAACGTGAATAGGGTGATCGAGGGGTAAATTATTTCGAGATTAAGGTGAAGTAATCATAAGGTTCGATTTCCTATTTCGAAATTTCCATGAGCTCAAAAATGAATCTTTGACAAAGAGGAATTAGTTCTATTCAAAGTAATAAGTTATGCAGCTCGTTAAACAAGAAATGATGAGGGCTATTATGATGAATATGAATAAAGTTAATGGGAGGGCGAAAAATATGAACAATAAAAAACATTAAGAAATTATGAATAAAAAATATTATTTTATACGATAGAGGATATTGTTCCTCATTGATAATGATGGAGCTTGGTAGATTATCATTCATGGACACTCCATTTACGATAAGATTGAGCCTGTCATTAAAAATTCGCGTGGTGCTTATGATCTATCACCCAATTATCACCCAACTCTCTCGCAAAAAATTCACTGTACGAATAGCGAGCGGAGCTAGCTTAACGAAGAATGGTAAATGTTAATTACTTTTTAATGATAGTGAAAGCTTGGAACGATAATCTTTGTTAATAATTATTTAATGGAGCATTAATATTAAGATTAGTGATTTGATATTTATCGATGAGACAGTTAGAATCTAATTTTTTACTACTACCTATTCTTTAATGATTTATGATCATCATTCACTTCATTTTTCTTACTTCAGCTGATAAGAATCACAAAATTTTATTTGATAACTTAAAGTCCAAACATTATACGTTTCTTTTATTAGAAATGTTGGTGAAAAACTGATTAAAGTTCATAAAAAGAGTGCAATGAAAAATTTTTCTACTGAAATGCGTAGAAACAAATTAAATAATCGACGAATGATCGAAAACTTTCTTTACCATACGACTTCAAATATTTCATATATACTTGATATTTGCAGTTAAAATCATGAAATGAATCACTTGTAGAATTTTTTTAAGGCTTTTCTTTGGAAGTTAAATATAAAATAGATATTAAAATAATTTTTAGGTTTTCAAAGGAAATAATTATTAATAAATATTTTTCGGATGAAAAAACGATGCACTAGGTGAATTTCCTGAGCAAAACTTTCTTGAAAATCTTCTTCGAGCAAATTGAAGAAAGTAAAATTATTTTATTTTGTTTGAACCATAAATGTTAATTGTTCATCAAAAAATTTTTTTAAAATAATGTTCGAACTTTTTCCACAATTTATTGCGCCATTCTTTTCCATACTATTAGTTCTATCATTCAGGTCAGCCGCACCATTCGAAATTTTTGCAAGTAGTTTTTTTCTTTCAGCGACTTCATTGACTCCGCTTTCGTAAAAAGTCACCAATCAAATTCTTAATTTTTCAATTGTTAATTCAATGGTTAATTAATTAAAAAATCAATTGAAAATTAAAATTTCATTGCATCTATCTATTCTTCTTCTAAATGTGCTCGCCATTTCTATTTGGTTCACTCTACTGGAATGGAACGCCAGAAAAGAGGATGGAAACGCATTCTCAACACCACTCAGGATTTGTCCATGAATATTCATATAGGTTTCTAAAATAGAATTTCAGCCTTAGATGGCGACGGCGATTGTTGCGAATTATTCAACGATGGTATTTGTAATTTCTGCATTGTTTTTTATAAAATAATCATTAATTAGCATCAAACGATTTTAGCAGAATTTTTATAGAGGAACTGAGTTGTAAATGAAAATGAATAAAAATGTTATAAATAAATGAAAGGCGGAGTCATTGGAACCGACCGACTCGTTTTTCGAGGTCGAAAATTTTGGTTGGGTGGAGTAGAGTATTTATTTGGATGGTGTATGCCTTAAAAAGATTTGTATATATATATATATATATACATATATATTTATATAAATATACATAAATGTATGAATGTGCCCGTATATTTCTTATCGTCATTTCACAGTTATATCGTATTTTCACTTTCTTTCGAAATGAACATTGCCCAGGATAATCTGAGTCTTGATCGCCGCCTAAGTTATAATTCTATGACGAATTATAATGATATGTATGATCGAAAAGTTCATTCGACAGAATCGCCTTATATCTGCGATGGCCTTTACAAATTTTCATTCCGTAAATCCAGCGTAATATCACCATTAAATCCTAAAAAAAGTTCAATTAAATCGAAGAAATCGGATGCAAAAGTGGAATCGGAGTCTTCAGATTATCGTTTCAGAAGAACATTAACGAAATCGGATTTGCTATTGCTTAAGGAAAGTAGTGCTGACATGAAGCAAGTTCAAGACCCGTTATCAGCTCCAAAATTACGAAACAACTCACTGGATTGTCCACCTAATCGAAATACGGTATTTAAATTAAGCAATCCTTCGTTGGACTACAAAGATTATTGTAAAGCATCATCGATACGTGTTTTTGATGACGTCGATTCAGAAGAAGGCGATCTTGCGCGACCCTCCGTCTTATTTCCATCTTTAAGGTTATTTTTTTTTAAATTTATTTTTAATTTTTTAGATTTTTGATAATATTATGAAATTTTTCGCAAATACTAATCAATTTTTAAAGTGAATTCCATCGATTTCGATGAAATGTTGAAAAATTTTTAGGCTATTGATTGCCGCATTGTTGTGTTGTTGTTTTGTCGCCTTATCAGTTAGCACATCAAATATGGCAGTTGCATTGATTTGTATGACTTCATGTCCATTAAACATTTATAGTGGAGATTTAGATTGGAAAAATGAACAGGTTGGTTCAAAGAGAAATTTTTTTCAAAAAAAATTTCAAAAAAAATGCTCGAATTTTTCGGCCGAATTTTCAGCAGAAACCTGATATTCATCGATAAATTTTCGCTATTTTATTTAATTCGCTGGCAGCTAAGCCATGTGCAAATAAAGCCATTTATTTGTAAAATTTCGAATAAAAGCTAACTGATCGTAAGCTAGTTTTACCTAAAAAGGAATTTTTGTGCTTTCATATTGATTGTTCTGATATGCGATTGCGCTGACTTATGTAGAATACTTTGACGAATGGAAATGGTTGATGGATGTTCTTCTTTAAACTATTTTGCTGAATCTTTGATTTGATTCTTTGATTTATTATCAGATAAAATAGAAAATTGGGAGGTATATATATATATACATATACATAACCCTCTTCTCACCCATTGTAGGAATGGTATGTGGTATGGGTCAGTTTCCTCAATTTCGGGTCCTCTAGCAAAGATCTGGAAGACTGAGGTAAGGCAGCTTCCAGAGCCTCTTGCTCAAGGACTGAAAAGGTAGAGAGGACTGGCTATTGATGATTCGAACTGTTGTTGTTACATTCCATATTAAGCGCACGTCTTAATCATTCCGATATTCCTGCATATTTCTCGATATATATACCGAGAGTATGTGAATATGTATGTAGTATAAAAAATTGTAATGGCATCACAAGGCTTTTTCCAAATTGAATAACGAGCTTTTTTTCATTCGTTTTCATCATTGGCCATTATCCATTCATTTGCTTGTTTTCATTTTTTTCTTAACTTCATTCGTTGAAAATAGTAATACCCTACCAGAACAGGTATAAATAAAAATTCATAAATTCTAAATCTCTCGAGCTAATAAGATTGGATGAGTTAGGATTTATTGGATTTATTTGACGTTCAAGAACAACTGTTTGTTCTTTTTTCGGCCATCATATCCACTATTAATTTGAATAGTTCAATATAAAATAATACGAAAAAAAGTAAAGTGTTTGATACCGATTAAACTAAAAATGAAATTTTTGCAAAAATTTTTTCATTTTTCTTTCGAAATTTTTATCAGTTATTCACAAATTTCTACAGATTTTTGCGATTAAACATGCAATATGCAAAACTTAGCTTTTTCAAATTTCCAAAAAATCTTCTAATTTCTTAAAAAAAGAAGAGAAAAAACTTTAAAATACTAAATACGAATACGAAAGAAACACGAAATATACATTCATTCATCTTTTGTAATAAAAAAATTAATTAAAAAGTATCACAAAATTTCGTTCCAAATTTTTAACTTAAAAATTTGATATTACCCAATGTTATAAGTTTCTTGAAGAGTTAATTATTCATTAAAAAATGATTAGTTGGTGAACTTGGCAAAATCTATAAGGAAATGTGGATGAGGTTGGCTTTTCAAATGAATATATGAAATTTCTTTAATATAAATATAAACTTGTATACATTCATAAACTTACAAGCGAGAAATTGTGAAATGTTGTGCAATGAGAATCATCATTGTTATGCGCAATGAACAATGAAGCGAAGTTAGATATAAATCACCTATTAACTGGAAAAATTTATCATTATTATAATTTTGGTTTATTAAAGGAAGGACTTGTGCTGGCAGCTCAAAATGCCGGATCGTTATTAATGGTTGTAACAGGATTATGGGCAGATCGAATTAATGGAAAATGGATGGTAGCTGGAGGTCTAATTTTATGCTTTGCTGCAAATGCTGCTCTTCCTATTATGGCTTATGACAGTTTTTGGTATGCAGTCGCAGCACGATTTGCAGTAGGTGCTGCAGACGCTTGTTTAATGCCATCAGCGAATTCTCTTATAACCAGATGGTTTCCACAAGCTGAACGAGCAGCAGCTATCGGTATTATCACTGGTGGGCGTCAAATTGGTACTTAGTATTTCGAAAAGCATTTTTGAGGCAATAATAAATGTTCGAATGAATAAAATTCTGAGTTATTCATTAGAAAAATCTAACTGGATTTCATTATCAGCACTATTCAGTTGTAGATAATTTATTTCTATTTTACTATAGAAAAACGAAGTAGTGTACAAAGCGCCGAAAAAACGTTTTTCAAACAGCTTTAAGTAATGCATTAAGTAAGTTTATTCATTAGTTAAATACAACTTATTCTTAGATATATATATATATATATAACATTAGTTGTTTGCTAGTAAAATCACTGCGAAAATGAATGAAAAAAATGTTTGGAAATTTTTAGACATTATTTAAGAGTGAAAAAATTGAAAGTTTGCACAGACAAAATTACTTTCGTTTACTTAATTGCTTGTTGCTTAACATGATCGACAAAATTTGGGGAATTGTTGCGAATATTTCGCTTACATAGGAATATATTCAAATATAGAATCCAGTTGGTGAAATCCAGTAATAACATGATGACGACTATCTCAATCAAAAAATCTTTTAGGTACTCTATTTATTCTACCTACGGCTGGCTATCTGTGCTCGCGTAAAGATATTCTGAACGGTTGGCCAGCGATTTTTTATTTAAGTGCACTTATCTCCATATTAGTTGGATTGTTTTGGTTGCCGATGGGTGCCGATAAGCCTTCGAAACAAATGTGTATATCGCAGCAAGAAAGACTGTATATCGAGAGCAGGTACGAATACTGAGGAAATTCCTCATTATATTATGTTGAAAATATATGAGATCTGGTTTGGTACTGAAATATTGTGATTTAAAAAAAAGTCGATATTTCAGGATAGCATGTGAATCTATTGGAAAGCGTAATGCACCAAGGATAATTCCATGGTCAGCGATAATACGATCATCAGCACTTTGGGCAGGCATATTTGCACTGGTATGTCATGAATATCCCTTGGTCATTATGCTTCAGTTTCTGCCCAACTATATGCGTGATGTGCTTCAATTCGCTCCAACCAAAAATGGAATCGTTTCAGCCTTACCTATTGCATGTTTGTTTATCAGCAAAACACTATCATCCACCTTGTCGACATGGTTAAATAGAAATACAACATGGGGCAGAACAACACTTTGCAAAGTATCACTTCTAATATATAATTTTATTACAAACACTTTTTTCTGATAAAATTGTTACAGTTGTTTTCTTCATATTAGAAATATCCAAAATAAGACAATTTTTTAAATTTTTTTTTTAAAATAATTACAATACAATTTTTTAAAATACAATTTTCGAGACAATTTTAGGCATTTATTAATTAAACTCTGGAATTATAAATTTTCATTTCCAGAATTATAATAGATTATTGATATTTGTCTCAACATTTCATGTCCTTTCGTATCGGCTTAGGTTCCTTATGAATATACTTTATATGGATAAATATGCACCTAGGTTTAGCTTAAATTTTGGGCCTACTTTATCTGGGTGAATGCTGGGTTCCGATTTAATTTAGGTACCAAAATATAAAGATTTATCTCATAATAAATAAATAGATAAAAACGATGTGCATTTACGTAGGCAAAATTCTAATAAATACAGATTAGAATTCGACAGAGCACCTATCATTGAAATCTCTCATTGAAATTTTGTTCAAAGGATCAAAAATTGCTTCTGGCATTAATTTCTGTCGCACTCAAGTACCATTGTATAAAAATTCAATCTATTTTCATTGTGTGCGTGATTCTTTTTTTGGATCCCTAAATTTTATGGAACTTTACGTTTAATATTTTTATTTCCATTCGACAAAATAAGAAACATTAAAATCGCATGAAGAAAAAAATGAAAATGAATCTACAATTTTCGAAAACTTGATTGATGTTTGTCGCTAATTATTATTTTATTTTTGAATTTGTGTAAAGAAGGAAGAAACAAAAAAAAGGTAATTTGCGGAAGTCATAATGCGCTCGTCTAATTGCTTCGTTAAACTCATCTCACCGCCGATTTTATATTTTATTGTAAATTTGATTAAAATGAATTACTGAGTTTTCATATATAAAAAGATAAAATTTGTGAATTTTATTTGTAAGATGGTAAAATTACTTTCATTTAAATTCGAAGCCTTATGGTTTGGCTCATAACTCTTGGTGAAACTTTTCTCGTAAAAGCCAAGAGCAGTAATATCAAAATTGCACCTATACTTCTATCATAAAGTGACTCTCTGACGAAATAGAGTTCATTTAAGGAAAAAAAGACTTGGCGAAATTGAAAAGGCAAATGATGCACATATATACTTGTACACATCTTATAGTATTAAAAATTCCATTTAGCAAGAAAATAATTATATAGCATCGAATGAATAAAATCATGTTAAAAATTAATTTATTTTAATTATTTTCATAATAAGGGAAATTTCAGCTATTCAATGGTATCGCATCAAGCGGTTTATCAATTTGTATATTTCTTGTCACATGTTTTGATGAGAAAACCTCTGTCTTGGCTACGGTTGCTTTTTGTGGTGCAATGCTATTTGCAGGTTAATCCAATATATGCTTATAAATCTATTTTTTATTTCATACCATTTTTTTCATCTATCAAATTTGAACTAATTAGAATAATTTCACTATTATTTTTTTATATCAAAAATAATTTGCACAATTTATCTCCATACTATAGTGGATTTTCTTTATCTTATTTCCTTATAAATCCTGATAGGAAAAAATGTACGAATTCGGTGACAATTGAATCACTGGCACAGATTTTTTGCAAAATATTCACAACTAGTTTTCAAGGGTACAATGAAGGTCAAAGAAATTATTTCTTTTCACTATATTTTTATAAGTTAATTTGTTCTTTGAAATTGAAAATATTATTGATGGTTGTAAAAATTTGAAAAATTTATGACTGCACTGGCAAAGTAGTAATCAGCATGATAATGCAAGAGGGGAATTTAAGTAAAAAGTCCAACCAGTATAATAGATATCTTATTTATGAAGCCATAATGTCGAACTATGTTCTTAATATTATGCAGTGTCTTCTTGTTCTTTCGTTTTAAGATGCAGCACTTTAACAATGCATGTATCCTTACATCATTAAGTTTGTGGGTGTTACCAATAATTTATAATATTTCAACATATGCAAAAAATTATTAACTAGTTTTTTATCAATGTCCTTCTAACAGCTCACATTTTCTCTGATTTGGCTGGCTCTACTGATTAATAAGATAGGATTCTTCTAAATCTCTCGATATAAGCCTGAAATTAACCAAAGCCACTCCATATGATTTGCTTTGCAAGGAAATTATTGATGTTCTATGTGAAAATGATCAATTTTAGCAATAGTTTCATCGGAAATAAATATGATGTTTCATTATAAAAAAAATTAAACAGTTTACCAGTTTTTGAGATTTTGAGATCCAGTTTTTCTTTTTTTAATTAATTTCTTCAGCATTAAAAAAAATTCATCTTCAATTATTATGTCATCAGTCTGAATTTTTATTTTAACCGGAAGATGGAAGTAATTTAATTTCCACACAATTACCGCCGCTTTTTTTACGCAAAGAAAAAAAAGAACCTCTAAACGAAGAATTGATAAATTATCATGCAGCACTACAAACGATATATTTTCAATATTTCATAGCCTTCTTATATTTATTATTCTTATTTTTGCAAGTAAATAACTCATATCTATAGTAATTCGTCCATAGTAATAATTCATTTTTCTCTGCTTTTTTTTAAAATTCTTTTAAATATCCTTCAGATTAGAAATTTCATTGTTAAAAAGCAAAAGATTTTAAGCGAAGGATAATTAATGAATTGTTTTATCAGTTTGCCTCTTTCTTTAAAATTTCTAAGAAAGAATCGAAAATTATTACTGAGTCACTCCCAGTTGCAGGTCTACATACTCCAGGCGTTCAAACTGCTCTTGTTCAATTAGCACCGCCATTTTCTGGTATTATAACAGGTCTGTCATTTTTTGTTGTTGCATGGTTTGGTATTGGCAATAAAATACTTACGAAACATATGGTGAAAAATGGCGTTGCTAAAGAATGGGCAATGGTAAGCATTTTTTGCAAAATTTGCACTGCAAGAATAATAATAAAAATTCATTATCAAGAAATGAAGCAGACATAATTTTTCTTGAGAATTTATTAGATAATGGGTGAAAACAAATATTTACTCGAAATGATAAAATGAAATGATAATAATCCTCAACAATAATAAAAGCAAATTTCAACTAAAAGTGAAATTATTATTTAAATTATTTTTAAAATTTTCGAAAACACCAAGTAATTTTAAATAGCAGTTAATTGACTGATCTCACTTTCACTTCTTTTTTATTTAAACTTCCAAATATGGTAAATTTTTCCTCAAATGCTTTTTCAAAATTTTGAAAATTCCCGCACAATATTTTGCAATTTGTAGGTGTTCTACATCTCTGGAATTATTGCTGCTTTACCCGTTATTTTTTTTACTATTTGGGGATCGGCTGATCGACAATGGTGGTCGGCACCAAGTTCAAAGGCATCAACACACAGTTTAAATACACAAGAAACGACCGTGGCGCATTAAAAGCCACAGGCTTGCTTTCGTTATTTTAGGCATTTTATTTTCATAATAATTTAATGGACTTGATCTCGCCTGTATATATGCACTATGGAAATGAGGAAGTATGCTTGATGTATTTAAAAGTTTACTAAATTACGATGATAGCATATTTCCGTTGCTAGCTTTGCTTAAGGACAACTACATCTATTTTGATAAAATTATCGAAGATTAGTTTATTTATGTGGGATTTTTATATGATATATGATTTATTTTTATATAATACTGTAGAAAATTTGTTTAATTCATATATGGTTTGCTAAAATTTGACTTTTTTGCTTTGTATCTGTGCTTATGAATAAAATTGAAAGGTATAAAAAAATTCAAAAATTTGAGTAAATTTCGTCGAAAAAGAGATTAAAAAATGGTAATTACAAATCTGAAACTTAGATTGCAATGAGCATTTTCGAGAAATCCTCATTCAACCAACATTTCATCAAATGGCTTGATGAATGAAATAAATATAAATACCAGCAATGATTTGAATTTCACTACCCTTCACACAAGGTAAATCGACACTTAGCATCAAATTTTATAAATTAAATTGTTTTTTATAAATTTTAATATTTGGGCTACAAGCAGAAACTAGAAAGGCTGCTAAAGACTATTGTAAAAATGGACAATGGATTTGAACAGCAGTTTACCTTGTCAACAGTTATTTTCAAAAAGATCAATGATAAGGCGATCGATAAGGTATTTTAATCAGTTCAGAGAGTGTATTGAAGTTTATTGGCATGTTAGCTAATCACTAAAGAGAATTCAAATTTATCATATAATAAAATATAAATTATTTGATAATATTACAAGACGATGATAACCATAAGAAACAAAGCAAAAAAAAGCTTTTGCTGCCGTTAATGAAGGATAAAAGCGAATTCCACCAGTGCAGCAAATGAACGGAAATGGGCTGATTCTTTTCGTTATCTATTAGCGTCTGCTCAACTTTGCTTTCTTTTTTTTTGGCACCATCGTTTTACTATACAATTTTTTTGAATCCCCTTTGCAGATTCAGCAGCCACTGAACTTCAACGTTTCTGAACTGATGAAAACTGTCTTATCGACCTCGATCCTTTCAATTGATAAGATGAACTGTTTGTTCGAATCTATTTTCCATTTTAACTCCATCGTAACCTTTTTTCTTTCGCCATTTGGCGACAAACATTTTATATATTTCTTATATATTTTTAACATATTCATATAAAATTATTGCTATATATATATATATTTTAATATAATATTTTGGAGGAAAATTTTAAAAAAAAAATTTAAAAATCTGAGTGAAAAGTTGAATTCAATTTCGAATATTTAATTTCATTAAATGTTAAAATGCTTCTAAAATTGAATAACGAATTGGATGAAAAAGATTTTCTCCCTTTGCTTAACTTATTGTTTAGAGTCTTTAAAACTGGTAAAGCAACAGCAAAATTGTCCCATCACAAATTTCTTTCTGTGTTTAATAAACTACACAACTAATATTATTATCGTTGATATCAATAATTTTTAAAAAATTCTTCTTCGATGTTATCAAGCTCTCGAAAGATTTTTTTCTTTTTCAGACGAATAGAGTAAATCCAGAGATAATTTCCTCCGAAATAGTTTTATTTCAATATTTATCGATGAATTCTCAAATTCAGTAATTTTTGTGGTTGAATTTTGCAATGTTATCAGCTGGTTGTTGCTGGAATATTTCTAATGATATTAACGATGTCGAATGACTCCATAACAAAAATTCCTAACCATGCCCAACAGACGGCGAAGCTAATCTGACAAGAAATAAGCGTTTCCATAAGTGTTTTCTGTAAAAATCGAGCGGAAATATTTTCAATGAATGATAAATGCTGTCGCCAAATGGCGAAGGAAGTTGCAAATATGAGCAGATGATACGCCTCACACGTGCTAAGCCCAGCAAAAGAATTAATGAAATAAGAAGAAAAGAGTTGGAAAATATTAAAAAATATCACGGAATAATATCTCATAAGTGAGAGTAGAATATCTCATAAGTGAGAGGTACAGTATAGCCTTTATTTTGAGAGAATTAAGAACCATAAAACTTTTCACCTCCCATCTAAAATCAAACATAAGTTCCCAAGACATCAGTTTTGTCTTTTTTAGGTTTCTGTTGGGAAAAAGAGCGAGAAGCGATGGGTGAGCTGGGTAAATTTATATATTTTTGTGTTCGGTTTTATTATCTTGCTACATTATTTTACTTGCTATATTATTTTTCTTTCTAATAGGATTTGACAATGTTTTAGGATTTATTGTTTTATGTATATACTAATAAACGGTTTAATTACCTAAGTTTGAGATCATTTCAATGAGAGTAGCGAAAGACGCTAGTTTAATTACTCAAGTTTAAGAAATTGAACATTCGCAGCGAGATAATCATTAAGGGAAATGCTGGCCGCAGAATTTATAATACTGTTGAGAAATAAAAGTCCCGCGTTGAAGGAAATTTTTTAAATCTATACAGAAAAACACATTGGAGCGGATCCTCGAAGGAATTTCGTAAACCTAGATATTGGAAGTGGGGATCGCTGTATTCCCAACAAAAATTCGTGTAGCTAAATTTTCTGTACAAATGCTATAACAAATTTTTATTGAGCAAATAATGGGAGTAATTAAGTGAGTCGATAAGTTAGTTGAGGACAAATATGATGAAATCCATTCAAACACCTAATAAAACCAACAAAAATCCTGTTAATAAATAATCAGATGAAATCTTAAGTAAATAAATTATAATGTTGCCATTAATTGCAGTTGCAGTTCAATAGAATTGAATCGGTAACGAGATTATCCAGAAAAAAATTTTAATTAACTAGTGAAAGACATTCTCCTCGACTTGTAAAACAGTTTTTCATGATTAATCTCTAATTTTGTATCAATCTGAGTCGAAAACTTAAGACAAATTGCAATTTTTAAATAAACAATGTAATAAATTATAACCTAGAGATGCAGACGTGTATATGTGAATTTTCGACAGCTGTTTCCTTCATTTCTTGGTTTGGAATCGAATCAGTAATCGGTTTGAGCTTTTTAGCATCCACTAGGGACCACTTTTCTTCTCGTTCACCTTCATAATATTCGCCTACCTTTGGCACCAATGACAAACGACCAGTACCACGATCTCTATGTCTACCTGAAATAATATACTCCCAGACCGACATATATAGAATTTAAAGGAGCTCTTCGTGAGATCTATTTTTTTTTTCCATGAATATCTTCTGTGCATGGTGATAATTAATTCGTAATTTGGCACTTGCAGGAACTGAACGATGTTATAAACAGTGTCATGAACGATGTTAACAGTGCAATGAATTATTAATAAATGAGGATAAACCTAAATAACTGGATTAGCGCCCGTCGAAAAATGATAAATATAAGAAAATTAATCATGAAAAGTTTTTTTTCAAAAAGTTACCATTACTGGTTAAACTGGCTTGTCGCACTGGACAAATATGCCTTGGAGTCCCTTGGCGATAGAAATACAGATGATTCGCCAACATCACCTGGTTCTTGGACAGGCTTACTCCTGTGGGGAATAGAACCTCAGTATTGGTTCTCCAAATTGAGCAACAACCCACTGAGCCATCCTATCCCCCATGAGAAATTAATAAAATAAAAAAATTTAATTACCGCTGCTTTTAAGCGGTAATAAGTTTTTTAAAATTTAATTTTTATTCAAATTAAAATTGATCAAATTTATTCTTTTTGTTCTAAATTAACTTTATGGCTCATAACTTACATTTGTTTAAAGGCCAGCAGTCACGCAAAACATTACCAGTCTCCGTTAAATTCACCTGCGATCCAGAAGATGTCAACTGAGGTGTCACCCTCAATCCCAAGTCAAGATCCAATTCATTCTCCATAAATTCTCTTTCCTGAAGTTATCTCTATTTCGCTCTAGCAAGAAGAAAAAAATATTTTGGGAATGAAACTAAACCTTGTTTAAAAAAAGAAATTACAAATTATAAACTATTAGACGAGGAGAAATAAAGATGATACTTGACTCAATTCTTTTTTTTTTTTATTTTAGCAATCAAAGAAATAAATGTGAAGAATTACTCTTGTTTTTATTCTGAATATAACCGCACTAAAACTTAACTCCATTATAAGCTAGTCATAAAAGCTAAGAATGGTTTTTGTTAAAAACTTCAAATTTTAAAAACACAGTTTTATGCAAGGTCCTAAAATCAAACAGGTTCACTCACGGTGATATGATAGTATTAAGTTGCTGATAAATGAGAGACAAAATTACTGTAGCTTTCTCGAGACATTGCAATAAATGCTGGTGTTGAATTTCGAATATATCTTCTTCTTTCAAATCATCAGAGCTAAGCAATCCTTCTTCGAATGCTCGCATACGTGCTTCATGAGCTTTCTTTTTCGCATACATAGCTTGTCCACTCGCACTTTTAACTATGCGTATCCGAGCGAGCCTTGCTTTCTAAAGATAATAAATTGGCAAATCGTTGTTGCTTTTCAGAAGGATTGGTAATAGCAAAAAGAATGAGAGAAGATAAATTAATGTTAAGTTAAAGATAATGATAGATGATAAGAAACCTTCTGTGCTCTTCGTTTATCAGCTCGTTGATTTTGGTGATAAATTCTTGAAAAATTACTCACGATTACCTTAAAATTATTATTAAATTATTATTATTATGAAAATGAATTAGTGAATTATTATTATAATTGTAAAATAAATTCATTATAAAAATTATCCGATCTTGTTAATCAATCTATAAAACATTTAAAAAATAACTTCATAAAATGGAAATAAACAAAATAAACATACAGGCACTGGAAGTGCAATAACGAGTACACCACTAAGCGAACAAACTCCCCCTACAATTTTACCCATAATTGTTGCTGGTACCATATCACCGTAACCTAGTGTGGTCATCTGAAATTAAGCACCAAACTACAACCACGCACTACTGTTAGATATTTTTAAATTTAATGTAAATTTTAAGCTTACTGTAACGATAGTGTACCAGAAAGCAGCTGGAATTGATGTGAATTTGGTATCGAATACTTTTTTCTCGGCATAATACATTATTGTTGCAAAAATAATAATCGCCATTGCAAGAGAGAATACGAGAAATCCAAGTTCACTAGCACAAGATTTTAATGTATAACCAAGTATTCTTAATCCTTGCGAATGCCGCGAGAACTTGAAAATACGAAAAACACGCTGAAATTCGTTTTCAATTTGTTAACTCAGGTCGTTCAAATAATGTCCATCAAATAAAATCCCTTATATCTCTGGCATTATACCGAAAAATGCAACATATGCAACAAGGCACTCTTGCTTTGGATACTATAAATCATATATTATTGTCAATGAACCGATTGAATAAAGCTAATAATAATTTATTTAAGAGATTTACTGGTCTTCAAAATAATTTTCCTCGAAATGTAAATAACAAAATAGAAATAGATTTCCTAATTACTAGATCATTCTATATAAAAAACAAATCGCATTGTACGGTGAAATTTTCATTTCGCAATAACATAAATGACATTAATTCTCCAAACGGTATGTTATGTTGCTTAATGATTCTCATATTTTAAGACTAAGAAATGATCAAAATTTCTTCGATTGAAAGATATAACATACCGTTAATATAATTTGAAATAATCAATTTTTTATAAAACCTCTTCAATTCAGATAACTTCAATGCCTTTTCTTGCATAAACGGATTATTTTTATCGCAAATCACTTAATTTACTAATCTGAATCATTTAATCTTACTAATTTGTATCAATAAACCCACTTGACCAATTAGGCGAACTTGGTTTGATCAAAACCACCTATTTTTAAAGTCTAAAATTTATTTTCTCCTTTATTCTCGTTAATTGTTGTTTAAAGCGAAGCGATGATTCATATATAATATTTAAAAATGCTGGAAGATTTGGGACTAGTGATAGTGATTCTATGACAAAGAAATCTCATTTTAATAGCCAGGTGCACGAGCCAAACCAAAAATGGCTAAGGGTTGGTAGAAAAGTCTTTTATCATCGTGCGTCTTTGAATTGAGAGAATCCAAACTTCGATTTGACCAAACATTTCCACTAATATATAATAAAATAATAGCTAATATTTAACGAAATGATTGTGACTCAAAAACTGAGAACAAAAATGCAAAAATTCATGCAAGAGTTAAACTACCTTTTCATCGCCTTTCACATGGCATTAATGGGATGAAAATGTTTGTTGAAAAAAATCTTCAGCATAAAAATGTTTTCTTTTGATATCAGTAACCAAAGTTCGATGATCCATTAAAACATATTCTATTCTACAACACTAAAGTATGTTTTGTCGTGAATTTTTTGGAAAAAACTTACAAAAACACGAAGTGTGACAAATGCACCAGAAACATCTTTATTATTTGTGAGACCAAGTCCAATATAATATGGAAGAATTGCAACGACATCAATGACGCTCATTATTGAACGTAAAAATTTACATCGGTCAGGAGCAGCAAATAACCTTGCCATATATTCCACGGTAAATATAACAACGCAAGCCGTGTCTAATACAAAAAACTGAAATTGTCTTTTTGAGACGTAAATGTTAAATTATAGTTAAATCGATGCTAAATGCTAGAAATTGGCAAAAGTAGCGAAAATAATAATAGCGCGGAAAAGACGAAAATTACGTATGTTTGGGCAACAGGGCAAGGTGGAATCAATTTTGGTTTATATCTCAGTTTAAATATTTAATAAAGTTTTTCTGAGTTACATACATTAATTCTCCAAACGGTATGTTGTGTTGCTTAATGATTCTCATATTTTAAAACTAAGAAATGATCAAAATTTCTTCGATTGAAAGATTTAATTTGAAATAATCAATTTTTTATAAAATTGATTATTTACCTCTTCAATTCACATTATTTCCTTTTAATAGCACTCATCATCTCTGATTTGCTTTTCTCTACTCAATATTAGGATGAGATTGCCAGAGAGGCATTTGACGATAAAAGTAAGGAAGTATGGAAGCATTTTTAATGACAACTTTGATCTCGCCAAGTTTAAGAAGCAAATTCATTACGCTGTATTTGTTTTTATTTCCAAATATGTTGGATCTATGATTCGAAAAAAAAAGTTATAAATATTGAACATTCATTAAGATATAAAAAATGCGAAGGAACTATCGCCTACTTTCCTGTTCTGTGAAATTTTTAACTTAATAATGCAATAATTGAAACCTCTATATATATATATATATATATAGAATGCTGTCAACAACATCTTTTTTGCTTCATCTAGCTAGTAAAGGTGTGAAAAAATAACCTGTTTTTCATATAAATCGCCGCACGATATATTAGAACCACTGATTACATATTTACATGGTACTGTCTCAATGATATTGCATAAAACAGATACGGCAATGAAAAATCCTGTCACATAATAGAAAACAAGAGCTACTGAAGATGTGTGAGGATTCTCGAAAGCTGCCCACATTTTTTCCTGCAAGCCGTTCGTTTTAATAAAATATCTTTCCAATGATTTTATTAGCCGTTCTAAATAAAATTGAAGCGAGTTCGCAAATCGCTTTATTAACTTTATTTCAAAATAAATTTTTCTGCTACTGTCATGAGAATGATGAATTTTAAAAGAAAAGTATCAAAAAGCTTGTCTGTTAAAAAATTTGCAAAATTACTGTGAAAATGAAAAATAAGAGAATTAATGCTTAAGTAAAATATTTGGTAATAAGTGGTAAATATTATTAACGATAAAAAAAATAATTCATTAATTTTTCGAATTCTCCGATTTTTGCATTAAAAAATTAAAATTATTAACTTGAAAAGATAAATTTTTCTTCTTTTTGTCCGCACTTTCTAAGCGCTCTTCCATCAGTCGCTCTTGATTTTCGCGCTTTTTATCTTTATAATCTTCGTAGCAGCAATCACTAATAAGATCTGGCATTATACCGAAAAATGATAATTCTTCTTCATATGCAACAAGGCACTCTTGCTTTGGATACTATAAATCATATATTATTGTCAATGAACCGATTGAATAAAGCTAATAATAAATAATTTATTTAAGAGATTTACTGGTCTTCAAAATAATTTTCCTCGAAGGGCTAAAAGGCTTTGATTTGTGATTTACTTATAAATGTGAAATAACAAAATAGATTTGCTAATTACTAGATCATTCTATATAAAAAACAAATCGCATTGTACGGTGAAATTTTCATTTCGCAATAACATAAATGAAACTTTACTGAAAATCATTATTTCCAAGAAAAATTTAAATTTATTGATTCTTATCACTATGCAAGTCGAGTATAGTCGAGTGATATGTTACTAAACACTTAAGCTCAGTTGCTGTTTCTCTGCAGGAGCAAACCGTGGAGGTAGCCAAACTAGAAATAGCTGACCGCTCTTATAGTTAATAAATAATCTTAAATTGTCTACCAAGTTTTTCGCTTCTATTCTTATTTTTTGATACTTCTATCAATTTTACAATTCAGTGGATGAATTGGCTGAATTTTTGTTGCAAAATTAAAATACAGCTGATACTGCTTACGTGTAATTTTCCTGTCCTGTAGAATGTAAGGATGTGCCGAAAAATATCCGGATCACGATCGAAAAAATATTCGCATGAGTCTTCGTCATAGAAAAACTCTTTTTCATTTGAGCCGAGTAAAGTCTCAGGAAATTTTTCGAGAGTATTTCGCCAGGTTTCGAAGCGTCGACCTGATATATTAATCAAAAGTTTCTCATCAGATACATGATCGATCGCCAGATCTCTTGCCTAAATTTTTGTATTTTGGGTAAATTCAACCTTCATACTTATAAATTCAACAATTATGAATTTATAAAATGAAAGGTAATATGAATCAAAAAAATTTTAATCAAATACTCCCACGAGGATCAGTTTTTCTCTGAAATACGAAACAAAAAATTGAACAAAATGCAGAATGCATTATTATGGTTTAGAAATTATTTAATAATATTTAATAGATGAATAAATTTTAATTAGACAATGCCATCTTTTAAGAGATATAAAATCCTTACTAATGTTGATATCCAATTTAAAATATTAAACTTTTTATTTCCGTTGAGAAAAATAGCAAAATAAAACATCTTTGAAATATTCTGAATTGTTGGACTGTTGACAATATAGTCGAGTAGAATGGTTGCTTCAGCTGATCGAGAAAATATGCCATTAAAGATAAAATTTTGGCATCATCCCTGACCTACGAGTAGTCAGGTGACGACTATATGGCAAAGATATCTTATTCTAACTTCCACTGAAGCTAGCAGAATCAGAAGTAATAAGTGATAGTGGATGTTGATGACGATAATAAATCGTGATATTTCAAATATTTACTTTATTTTAAAAAAGTTGACCGATTTAATATTCGTTGACAATTCAAATGAAAAATTAATATAATAATTTTTTTTTAATTGCGGAATACATCTATCTTTATCTTTGTCTACCCAGAAAAGCTTCGACGCGGGGAAAAGAAGATTTTCCAAAAATAAAAAGAGCAATTATAATTCCACATTCACATTCCACATTCGAGCAAACGCGGCACAATTCCCTTATTGTTAAATTTCTTAATTAATGTTTAAAAGGTTTTTTTTTTTAAATGAAATAAATAAAAATTTCTATCATATTCCATGCATTATTGCAAGTCCCAAGTTTAATGATTCCCTTTTTAAGTGATTTTCTCATGTTTCAAACTGATTTTATATTTATTTATTTGAATCATTTTTTAAGATATTTGAATGGTTTGAAACACATTATTTTATTCATTCCTACAGTAAAACTAATCTATTCTTCACTTTTCTTCGCATTTTATAAAATAAATATATTATTCCTCCAAATATTGGAGCGAATATGGCACCAATCATTCGGTCCGCAGGAACAGACATTGTGGTCTAAGTATGGCCATATCATTGTTAGAAATACTGGACAAAAAAGTGTTAAAGCTTTAAGAAGAAAATAATCCTAAGAATTATTGCTAATATTGGATGAATATGTATATTTGGTCAACAAATTTACACAAAAATTTTCAACTAATGCATTTATGTGGCTATTGTTATTAAAATATTATATATTTCCACCATTATATAACTGCTTATTGAAGATTTTGAGGAATAATTCAATAATTTTGGAATTTCTATAACGATTTTCCGTCTTTCATTTTTTCATGAAAATTCGCCTTCTAAAGCTTATGATGCTTTTTCTGTCGCTGCGATTATGTGATAAAATTTTTTGATAAATTTTTACTTCTATTGTCTCAAAATTTCACCAATGGACACTGGTTTTACTATATTTTTTGTGAATTCTATTCATCTCAAGCTCTAAATTTTTCGAAAAGACTAGGAAAAAAAATTTTTTTAGAAATAGAAAAGCAACTTATTAAAACAGAAAAGGATTAGTATCAGTAAATGAAAAAAACTACATTGATTAAAACTACATTGAGTTGATTTTGTTGATTTTGATTTCAAAAATTAATAGTTTTAAATTTATATTATAGTATAGTTCAATGATTTCTATTTTTTTAAACCTTTTCATCACTTATGAAATTGACATGGGAAGATGACAAAACTCTTTAGAATTATTATCTATAAGCAGGATAAATTCTATATTCACGACTTCGACGATATAGTTAACTATCAAAACGAATTTGCTATTTTGACCCATTTTAAGAACTTTTTAAGCATTTCTAGATGAATTTGTTTCCTGATATACCAGTCATTTCCATTTCCGATTTGATCATAAAGCAAAAATTCAAAATCAAATGAAATATTTAATGCAATAAATGCACTCATATTTATGAGTGCTCTTATGCTCACAGTGCTCTTTTTGTGATTTATAGTGATTAACGATAAAGTCGACCACATCACTGAAGTACCGATCGAACATAGCTGTCATATTTTCTTGAGTGATCGTTAGCTTGTAGTTTTATCCATTTATACTCACCTGTATACTTACTGGTGCTGGTGGCATAGGTTGCCTCGATATAGGTACCCATCCTATAGCTGCAGCACGAGCAAATGGTAACCAAGCGGCAAGTGATGCCATAGTTCTATAAAAAAACCAATCATCAAAAAATTAACACTAAACGATAACGCTCAAAGATTTCGTTAAAAAATTAATTTTAACTATTTTTATTAAATATTATAGATAAATTGGTAATAAATACATCAGATAAGTGAAAATTTGATGGAAAAATTTTTATCACAAGTTTAGTACTGAAAGCGCAGGGGCAAATCTTGGAATATTTATTCCAAACCGTAATCCATTTCAAACCGTAGGCAAAAAGAAAAAGTAGAAAATTATTTTTCCTTTTCGCTAGTTTCTTGTAGAGATGAGTTGTACGAACGTTTTTTGACCCTATTTACGACTAGTAATGGCGATATATATAGTTTCTTTATTCTCAAAAAATCCTTAATATTGCGGTAATTTATACTATATTGTAAATATTAAATCCCTATCAGAGAAATGAGAATAAAATGAATTTCAGCTATTCTGATTGAAATATATTGAAAATACCCTGAAGTGTTGTGATCCATCAAAATCAATGGAATTTTATTTATCAAAGCAAACGATAATATTTTTCTATTAATTAATAATAGACTTTATTTACAAAGTTAATTTAACTTTTTATTCAGTAATTTCATTTAATAACGATTTGAAATAAAATATATATTTTCCAAAAAAATTATGCTTCGATAAAGATCGACTCATCCATCATGTATTCTATTTGTGTTGACGGGAATAAAATGGTTGTTAAAAGAGGAAAGGCTCGCGATAAGCTAACCTAATCTGCATTCGTTTTTAATAAAAGATTTACCTCTAAATGAAACGAGAATTTATTTATAATGGGTAATGGTGTGACTTTTGCCGAAATAATACTTTGGAAAAAAGTAGGTAATAATTCGCTAAGTTTTATTATGTTAAAATTTAAAAAAATAACTGAAAAATGAACTAACATTGATAATTATGATTCGTTCAGTAATCGCATGTGTAGAAATATACAAGCAAATATTTTATTTTTCGTTTATAAAAAATAATATTTATTTCTTTATTTTTAAATATATTTATTGATCTAAAGGATAAAATAAAATCGATATTTAACTGGCAATGAACATTCGTATTAAATTACGTAAAATTGATGTTTTAGATGCATAATTTTCATCGTCCTTTTCCAAGTTTTTTCCTTTCTTCTTTTTTAGAATTTTATCTAAATAAAATTTCAATTTTGCGCGATTTTTGGCGAAAAATAAATTCGGAATATATAAAAACTAATGAAAAAATTATTTCCACTTATTATCAACGACGAAAACAGCATTTTATTGTTAAATATTAATTTCGAAATATTTGAAATAATTCAATAGCAACCGATTGATAAATTGGTAAATTTAAAATTCAGCCAAAATTTGCTTTTTAAAAAAAATAAAATGATCGAAAGTAATATTAAAAAAAGAAAAGGAAAAATGAAAGGAAAAATTTTAAAAAATTAAGATTATAAAACAATGACATAAAAATTGCATTAACAGTAGTCTCACTGTCACTGTCATAAAATCAATATTGATAATAATAATGCCATTATCATTCTTACTGATTATCCTTATGAGAAGAAAAGATCGACAAATGTTTGTTGCTCAAATTATTGTTTCCAATGTCAAACATCGGATCTGCTTCCGAAATGAATCAATTAATGATGATGGCCGCTTTAGTGATAATTGAACGAAATTTCCAGGAAGAAACAGTTTGCTTGTTATTTTTTTCTTTCCAAGTGTTTCTAACAATTTGAAAAAACGCTACGCATAAAAATTCTTTCTTCATGATGTTATTAATAATAATTTATTATCGCTCAAAAATCGTTAGAAATTAAAAAATTGTCAGTCACTCAAAAGTTTGCTAAAATTCTTAAATTAAAAATTTAAGAATTTAAAATTAAATTTTAGTGAAATTCTTAAATTTAATAAAATTTAAGAACAAAATTAATAAAATTAACAATAAAATTTTAATAAAATAAAAGTAAAAAGTTAAATAAAATAAAATAAAATTCTTAAAATTAATAAAATTCTTCGCTTTTTTAATTTTTCAGTTTTCTTTAAAATTTGTTTTTTAAGTACTATTGGAGCAAATTTATAATAGAAAATATATAATCATTAAAAAAAATTGAAAAAATAAAAAATTCTGAAATATTCATGAAATGAAAATTCTTTTTTACCACATTTACGGATAAATGGGTCAATTAAGAAAGTTTTTTTAAATAAAGAATTAACTAAAGATCTGAATTAATATTTTTTAAAATTTCAATTCGTGCACACAAAATTTTAAATCAAATAAAAAAATTCCCTGAAAAATTTCCAAAAAGTTTTAATAAAATCATATTCCAATTTCACGAAGAAAATTGACTTTTATTTTTTAGTTAGTCGATGAACAAAACATTTGAATATATTTTATTTTATTTACTACTTTTTCGATCACTTAGTGCATTCATGAACGAAAAATAAATCTGGAAAATATTTCAAAAATCACTTCAGCCAAATAGAACCTATTCGTTAATAAGTTGGAGTAGAATCAAATTCTATGACAGGCGATCTACTGCGGGGGAGTATTACGGTAATAGCACGGATCCGAAAAAATAATTTAAAGATAATAATATAACAATCGTAAAAGGGAATAGAAAAAAAGAAAATTTCTCGTTTTTTTCCCTTCATTTAACAATAGTGTTTCAAACAGTGTTTCACTTCCATATTTATATTTACACAATGCGGTTTAGTAAATTTAGTGGAAATTTGCTTTATAGCACGCAAAATTCAAGTATAGAATTTATAAAAAATAATTTATTGAGAAACGAATTTTAGTTTCTAAATTATAATGTTCAAATGCGCCCATCTAAAATCTGGGCATTAGAAAAATCAGGCAGTCATGCAGGCAGTCTACATCCACTGCTACTATACCAAGTGTTCAAAAATTTCTTATAGTACAAACGACCAATGAAGCGAATCTGATGAAATCATGAACATTAACCTTTACACATATATTACACATAAGCGTTTTGAACTCTGATTGAACTCATTGCCTTTGTCCTACGAATCTTACGAATACATAGATGAAGAGATAACATCAGAGCAACATAGAAAATTTTGTTTTTCCAAAATTCAAAGAAAGAACGAAATGGAATTCGAAAAATTGTTTTAAAATTGTTTTCTTAGACGAATCCTCACGCTTAAATACTGTTATGCGGAAATATGATGCACGATTTCTGATGAAAATCTCAAGAAATTTGTTGGATAAAGAAAATAAGTGATGATTTCTCATCACTTATTATCCTCGCCGCCACTATACTCAATTGATTTATGCTCAACGAATAATTTTTATTCGGGACTGCTGAATATTGATATATTTCATTATTTGAATAATTTCTAAGAAAAATTTCAATTTTTCGGTATTCTATTGTACTCAAAATTTAGGCTTTAAAATCTCTTGTACCGTCCAGTTTTTCTGTGGGAAATTAAGATTGTTAAGAAACAAAATATTTTTTCGTTTTCTATTCTCTATTTTTATTCTTTATGGAAAATGGATTACAAAACAAAGCAAATAAAAAAATGTCTAAGTATCCCTCAAATATTACTTTCTTTTATTTTTCTATAGCACATACCGTGGTTTCTGTGGCTCAACTGATTAATGAACTATAAATATATCCAATCTATCACGAAGCTGATTTTAGTTTTAGTGGCAGAGAGGTTACTCCGCCGAGAAACTAAAATTGGATCCATGGTGGCTCGAAGCAATATATAGTGGTCACTCGCTCATTCTATGTGTCAGTCAGATGGCTTTAACAATTCATTTGATTTGATACTTATACTTCTAATACTAATACTTTCTTAAGAAGTCCTTAATTTCATAATTTTGATTTTCATGGTCATCCAAATTCATATTGAATCGTCGGATTGTCAAAAGCAAATAATTGAAATCATAAATGATATCTGAAAATAAGATGGCAAACAAATGTTAGCGCATAGATTAAATAAAAAAAAATAAAAAATAAAAACAAATTTCATTTGCGCTGCTTGAAAAGTGCTCGGTCGGTCGCGTCAAACCGCTTAGTATTAGCATTCTAAACGACTGCATGACCACCACGAAATGTTTTAGAATTTTAAAGCTTTGCATAAACGACAAATCAAATATAAAGCATTGTGAGATTAGTGCTAACATATGAATTTAACTTGAATTCTAATCTTAGATTCGAATTTATGTAAATTATTGAAATTTGCATCAAGTTTTGATTTACTGGAGAGAAATTCGAAAGTAAATTGCGTCATAAAAATGGAACTGAAAAACTAGTATGGCAAAAAAAGAAGTAATTTGCCGTTAGAATGGCAAGATAAGATGGGTGGAAAAGGAGGAATTTTTTTCTAAACGAATATGAAATATTGAAGGATCGATTAAGATAGGTAGAGAAAAGGAGAAGCTGCAGCACATTTGGCTCAATCTATCGATTTAGTTACACTGTGCTCGTACTAATTTTATGATATTCACTAATATTAATTACCCATAATACCCACAATCCATGTCTATCGAAATACTCGAGTACTCTGTTAAAAGTCGATTAATTCAAATATATTTGAAAATATGAAACTTAGGGAATGTTCGAGAGAAATGCATATCAATATTGAATACTGAATAATGAAATTGATAATGACCAGTTTAACTTAGTGATAATCGCAAGATTATGGCTTATTGTAATGAAGATTCGAAACTTTCAATTCTTTGGTTTCAATAATAATGCTTAGAGGACTAATGGAGCGAGCGAAGCATAAAATTGCTCCAAACCAGCTTCCACGTCGAGTTCGATTGAATTCATATATGTTACAATAACAAAGGCCGAATAATTACCGATTTCGGTAGCCTATTGTAGACATTTATTGAGCAAAATTTAACTGATTGGCTATGATTTGCTAAAACAGAATAAAGCCGAATTATTCGATTAATATGGAAAGAAAGCGACAAAAATTGACTCGATATCCCAGATGAATACTCAGTCGAAAAAATCGAATGCATTCATTGCCAATTTTACTGCGGTGATAAAACAAATTGGCAACCAAAAAACGATTAATTTTAACTTTAAAATTATATAATAAAACGTGTCTTTTAATGTTTTTTTAAACTCTAAAACCAAAAAGTATAACGTTTACTTTCTCCAATCATCCAATCGTAATGAAATTATTTTTCAATAGTTCATGAAATCCTCTCGTAATTCTAATTTTAACCTTTAGATTACCTTAAGCGTTAAGAATTCAAATAGATTCCCCAACATTTCATTCGTTAAAGACAATTTGCTTTAAAGATTATTTGTCGCAAATTCCGGATGATTCTGATCTTCATATCGTTCATATTTAATAATTATATGAATGATGAAACAAAACAATTTATAAAAATCCGGAGTACCATGAAAGGCTAAGAAAGAAGCAAACTTGATATTTAATCATAATAAGCAGATTATACCCTTTTTTCTTTTTTGTTTTTCACCTTAAACACTTTCGAATTCATTTAT